TATATATATATATATATATATATATATATATATATATATACATACAAAATGGGAAATTTACATACATACTACACAGATCTTTTGTAGATACATATCTAACACCTAAAGTTTAATATTTACATGAATAAAACTATGATGTCATATACCTATGCATTAAAGGTGTAGTTCTTTTTTATAAAGATAGTAATTGTGATATTTTTGATGTGATGTTAAATATTTGATTCATATGCATGCAAATATGAATGTTAAAATGTTAGATATGCAAATACATTATTGTGTAGTATATGCTCGTGTAAGTATCACGTGTGTTTATGCATATGTGTAAATATAAATGAATATATTTGTCTATATGTTCATAAGCATACATTTTAGTTTGGATATATGTATATATATGCGATGACATAAATATTCTTTACTTGCATATGCCTTTCAAGTAAACTTCATGTTCATAAACAACTAATGTTCAAACAACACTAGAGTTCCCCAACAAATTTGGGTAAGTTACATCCCCACACTAAATAATACTAAAAATTTACAGAAGATTTACGTATATACCACACATTTCTCATGTATTTATATATCTAACACATAAACTTCTTTTTTTACATATTTACTAAAAATTTCTCATGCGCTGCGTACTCAGATCAGTTGGTCGGGCATCTGCTTGTCAGTTGTAAGTCCCCTCTAGTTCAGGGTTCGATTCCCCCTGGCGTAGGATGTGGTGCTCAAATTATTTGACGCATCGGAATGGTTGGGGCTCGTATAATAGCCTCAGGCCATTCTTATATATATACATATATATGCATTGAAAATGAATTTTCAGAGGCTATTATACGACCCTCCGATCACCCATAATGTGTCTAACAATTCGAGTACCACCTCCTTAAAGCCAACTGTGTCAGAGGGGATTCAAACCCCCGACCTAAGGGGTCTTATACTATGGATGTCAACCAACAGACTGGAGTACGTGGCACTCATTGTATACCATGATAGGGGGCTCGTATAATAGCCACCGACCATTCTTTTACACACACACACACGTGTGTGCACGCGCGCCACCATAACTATATATGAAAATGAGTCTTTCACTTTTTAAAGGTTGAGATAGTTGTACCTTTGATCTGATATGAAAGATTTAAATAGTATAAATATAAAAAAAAACATAATTTAGTTATTAGATATGTAATATATAAGAATTGAGTGGTATTATGTATGAGCTCTTTAAAGGGGCATCTAGGTGCATAGAACACTATCTTTATGCATTTACATATCTCCCACTTAAACTTTCATATTTATAGTCATAACACTCAAATATTTAATATCAAATTAAGAACAACACTATCATCACTTTTTAAAAGTGAAATGCACATTTTCATGCACAAGTAAAAATCACCAATTTGTTGTATATGTAAATATGAAAGTCTAGGCGTGAGATATGCAAATGCATAAGAATTCCGTTCTACTTATGAAAAATTCACTTTTTAAAACTCACATGCACTCCTATTGCCGGATCCCAACCCCTGGATGCGAAAAGTGGAGGGTTGCATTGGGTATCGATAACTAACGTTCAATTTTTGTCAAAAAAATCATGACATGAATCTTTTAAATCATTAGTTGTCGTTGAAATTCACATTGACAATCTATGTTTCTCTCATGAATCCACATACATAATTTATGTTTTACAAATATAACGTAGCACTAAAACCTCTGTAACTTTTCTCAGACGAACCGAACGACGGCGAGGATTTTTCCGGCCGTGCTCGATGTTGAAAACCCAGAGTTCAAGAGAAAGCTGGACAGGATGGTAGAGATCAATCAGAAGCTTATAGCTGTTGGAGAAAGTGATGATATTCCTATGGTGAAGAACTTGAAGAGGATACCTCACATTGCAGCTTTGGTTTCTGAACTCATGGCTGCCTATCTAATGCCTCCTATAGATTCTGGATCTGTTGATTTTGCTGATTTTGAGCCTAGGCTTGTTTATTAATTTTTTTTTTAGAAAAGTGTCCTTTTTTGTAATAAATTGTGCTTTTAGTGCCTAGTAAGGAGGAAATTAATGAAATGAGTGCACTTTGATGTGGAGATGAATGTTTATGTAAATGAGACTTTTTTTGTAATTACTTAGAGGATGTTTGGGTTCAATTTTGTTATTTGGAAAAATTGCATGGATAGCATATGAAATATTGTTATTTACAAAATCTAGCGCCCATGTGATATTTTGAACTATTGAACCAGTGTATTTTTTCGTGTCACCATCAAATCATTGAGAATTTGATAAAAATGAAAGAGGATGTTATTGGTCATTAGAGTTTTAAAAAAAAGAAAAAAATAATGAGAAGTTTTGTTTTGTATTATGTCCGCTTTAAAATCGATAACAACTGGAAAGTTGTGGGCTGACTTTTTGACGAAAAAAAATAATAATAATAAACTATCCAAACCATTTTTTTTTTTTTTTTTTTTTTTTTAAAAAAAAAGTGAGAGTCACGCCCAGCTTTATTCTAAAGAAATAAATGAACAACTCAAAAACTCGAGTTACAACTGACACAGCAAGCATAAACCCATAATTGTATTAGGAACAACAACAAAAGCGACACTTGGATCTAGGGCTGTCAATTTGGTTCGTGAACAGCTCATGTTCGGCTCGTTCGGCGAACGAGCCGA